ACTGTAGTCGTAATGACTTAAGATTAAAATTATATTTTAAATTATATAAGGAGATTTATCTAATATAATTTATAAAATAAAAGAGTTTATGGTATTTGCATAATTTTAAATATTTGCTGTTTTCGTAATAGTTACTTTTCTAAAGCCTGTATTAGCATGAGTCAGCAAAAGTTTTAACAGGATATTTTTAGTTTACTCATTTGAAATTAGTGCAATTAACATTGCTGCACTACTGTAAATTAATATATTGTTACACTTAACATTACTAGAAACTAATATTATAAATTAATATTGTTGCGCTTAACATTTAAGTCATTTATATAACGGGATATGCAGATAAATTTTTATATCATATCCTATTTTAAATAAAACTAAGCAATATCTTATGATAATAATTTAGAAATTTTTAATAAAAATATGAAAAACCCTAAATACATTTCTTCGAATCAAACACGAAAATATTAAAGCACGTTTTGTATAATAAAGTAAAAGTCATAACGTCAAACACGCTCACATCCAAGAAGATATATGACCTTTAATGCGTAAAATAGTCAAAGAATATTGTTGATTATAGTTTTGGAAACATCCCAAAATTGCTTCTATCAGATATAGAACAGGATGTGTTAATGTAATTTATGACCTTTACAATGAAATTCTATATAAAATTGCATTGAAAAGGGTAAAACCCAAGTAATGAAGGACAAGCAACTTTTAGTTTTTTTTTGTTTTTTTTTTTTTGTAAAATTCTTTTTTACTTGAAAGTATAAATAGATGCACTTTATAAATGTTGTAATTATTCGTGTCAATATTTTTTATATACAAGAAATTAGCTTTTTTATAAAAGAAAAATAAAATATAGGATAGTAAAGTTCATTAATTATGTTCTCTTATTATTTTTAAAATTGCTTCATTTATTCTATAATGTGCTAATGTTTAATTAATATGAATTGTCTTTGCTCCAGGGCTTAAAAAACAGGGGGGAAATCAATCTTGAACGTATTTAACGGATTATAAACGTATTTTATAAACAAAATCTAAGGTTATATTTTAATTGATAATTATTGCAAATATCTCCAAGAACTCTCCGGGGGTCGAGAACCACAGGTTGATACGAAATATGGTAAAAATATTAATAAAATGTTTATAATTTATGTTCTCTTATTATTTTTAAAATTGCTTCATTTATTCTATAATGTGCTAATGTTTAATTAATATGAATTGTCTTTGCTCCAGGGCTTAAAAAACAGGGGGGAAATCAATCTTGAACGTATTTAACGGATTATAAACGTATTTTATAAACAAAATCTAAGGTTATATTTTAATTGATAATTATTGCAAATATCTCCAAGAACTCTCCGGGGGTCGAGAACCACAGGTTGATTCCCCATCATCCTCCCTATTCCAAATTCCTATAAACATAACCAAATTTAGAATTTAATCGTTTATACATGTAAATTTACCATAGTGGTTATCAATCCACCGTTCTCCACCCCACT